GGATGTTGAATTAAAAGATGTAGGCAAAAAGAAAAGAAATAAACACCTCAGTCCAAGAACATGGAAGCAAAATGAATCCAAGCAGAAACGTCTAAAAGGAATTTCATACAAGAGCAAAAGTGGCAAAGAAATAAGTGCAAAGACTATGGGTCCTCCCTGCAACTCCAAGTTCTGTCAGCGAGTCTCAACTTGAGACTGCCAAGTCCTTACAGAAGAGCAGCGGCAGTGGGTATTTGACAAGATTTGGGCAATGAACACCTGGGAAGAACGTCGGTTATACGTCACCACTTTGGTCACAAAGACTAGCATAAAGCAAAAAAAAGTTACGGAGGGATCCCGACGCAATTCATCATTTACCTACCAACTGAAGCTTGAAGATGGAACAAGAGTTAAAGTGTGCAAGGCACTTTTTTCTTCTACAATTGGTCTCCCTGAAAGAACCATTACAAAATGGCTGGATGACCCCATCAACCCTGAAAAACAAGCAGAAGTGCCATCAAAATCTGGACCCAAAAGTGGCAGGCACAGAAAGGTTGAAACTGATGTCAAGGATTTCCTTAAGAACTGGTTGAGGGACCTGCCCAGTGTTGACTCACACTACTGCAGAAGCACAGCTACCTACAAAGACAAGAAGTTCCTTTACCAAGGCACAACCATCTCCCAACTACATCGTGAATATGGACAGGCAGCTGCAACTGCTGGAGTGAGAGCTGTTGGAATCCAATATTTCACAGCTGTGTTCCATGAGGAGAACTACTCCGTATTTATTCCAAGAAAAGATCAGTGTGATGTTTGTGTTTCATTCAAACATGGAAATATCAGTAAGGCTGCATACAACGCACATGTCACCAAGAAGGATGAAGCGAGGCAAGAGAAATCTAGGGACAAGGATTCTGCTGATAAAGAGAAGTCCGTTTGGACAATGGACTTGCAAGCTGTGCTACTGTGTCCAAAAACCCAAGCCAGCAGCCTGTATTACAAAACAAAACTGCAGGTCCACAACTTTACCCTTTTCAACTTGAGATCAAAGGAAGGCTACTGCTATGTTTGGGATGAATCAGAAGGTGACCTCTGTAGCGAGGTATTTGCACATCTTCAGTATCATCATTTTGAAGGTGTGATCAAAGGCCATCCAGACCTCAAGGAGATCATAGTGTGGAGCGACGGTTGCGGTTATCAGAATCGCAATACATGTGTAGCAAATGCATACTCTGAGCTTGCAAGGAAATATGGGGTGCTAATAACCCAGAAATACCTTCTTGCAGGTCATACACAAATGGAGTGTGACAGTATGCATAGTACTATTGAACGAAAATTAGTTGCAGATATCTTCACCCCAAGAGACTATGTCGTTGTACTCCAGGCTGCAAGAATCAGGCCATCACCTTACTATGTGAAAGTGCTCAAGCACGATGAGTTCCTGAAGCTGAATGGATCTTACTTCTTCAGCATCAGACCAGGCAAAAAAGTTGGAGACCCGACTGTGCATGACTTGCGGGGTCTTCAGTTTAGCAGTGACGGCAAGGTCCATTTCAAGCTGTCCTTTACAGAAGACTCTGTGTGGGAAGAACTGCCACAAAGAGTGCAGGTGCCAAATGGGCCAATGGCATGGATAAGTTTGTTTCCATGTGCTCTGCCAATCAAAGAGAGAAAGTTCCAGGACCTCCAGTCAATGAAACCCATCATGCCTGTCGAGTGTCATCACTTCTTTGACAATTTGCCACACTAATAGGCATCAGACAAAAACCCAGCAAAGAAGAGCTGGAAGGAGAAGTGGAAAAAATGCACATGCCTCCTCAGCATTATGTTTTGTTAGTTTGTGCTGTAAAATTGCCTAGGTCACAAAGGCATGTTCAGAAATTTGCCTAAGTCATTTAATTCTGTCATGTTCCATGTTTGACTGACCTTGCTGTTTGTATGTCAAAAGACATCTGTTGTTACAACTTTTTTGATTAAAATTGTTCGTAAATATCATTTATTCAACAAATGGTTCAGTTTTTTGTGTTTCCTGAAAAATTGCAAAAAATGACTTAGGCAATTATTTTAAGAAGGTGACGTTATTCAAATAAGGTGTATCTTTGCTCATCCAAACAGGAGCTATCTCTGACCCTCTCTCTAAAGCCAGGAACTCCTGCTGTTTTATGGCTTTTCACAGATGAGTGTGAAAAGCTAGAATCATCACATTTTTTATCACATCACTGGGGTGTGAATCAAGTACTTGTTGCAATGATAAACCTTTTACAGAGGTAAACACAATGATGACCGCAAACAGAGATTCTTGAAGTTATGATTATTTTTGAAGACCTTTCAAAAACTTTACGATGCTTGTTGGGTAGAAATCAAAATTTGGGGCTAATCCGTATGAGTCGAAAAACGTGGCAACATTTCCTTCCAAAGTCAGAGCCAACCAGTGTTCTCTGGGCATGTGAGCGGGATGCATGTTCACAATAAAATATGCGGGTCCTGTGTACTTATGTGAGAGCAAAGACAGTTCATCGCATGCCCAGACTCCACAAAATAATTTCCCATCAGACTCTCCAGTTGATTATTCATAATTAATAATCCACCAAGACCTGCCTTTTTGAATTGATTTCCAGGATGGAGTCGTAGCAGGCATAAACAATGAGCGTAGTCGTGTGCGGTAATGGGACTCTGAGGCAAATCTCTAACCATAAATTACCGTTAGAAATGGGTGTCCTCACTCGGATTGAGGTTAAACACAAACGAGTAACAGTCATTAAATTCCCTAGGGTTGAAGCATAGAGGAAGGTCTTTTAAATGGCGGCCTGTTGCAGAGAATATGTTGTAAAATTCTCTGACTGATATGCCTTGGTTGAATTGGGGATGGAAAGCTTTGCCGGGAATTTGTCTAACCTCCTGACACAATGCTAGGTATTCTGCGTTCATGTGTTTAAAATTGAAAGGTGACAGGTCCCTTCTTCCTGTGAAGGCCTCATTCCTAAAACTATATACTTTGGTATAGCACCCAAAAAGAGGTTTTCCTGAGTATATATCCTTGAGTTTTCTGGCATAGAATATGTTTTAACGTTAACTTTGGAAAGTGGGTGCAAGGCATTTCCTCGCATTAAAGCAGAAGCATGACCTAAACGGACCGTGGGAGAAACTGAGACTTTTTTAATAAAAAGAGAAACGCCTAAAATTCTCAGTTGAAAGGTTGAATCACGGGCTCCCATCAGGCAAAATGCATCGCTGGCTCGTGTTAATTTAATTCTCAAATCCACTGAATTAAGCAGCGCCCTCTCACAGAAAAATAAATCAGCATGAAGCGCCCTTAACAGGTGAAGTTCTCTGGATTCAGCGGCGAAAAAGGCCCTTTTATTTAATCCTCCATTCGGCCCGTCGTCTACGTCAATAGTCTATGGTACCCGCTGTGTCTTTGTAAAAAAGACCTGTGCTAAAGTGACTCTTTAGTGCATCTTCAGAAAAGTTGAGTAGAGTTTCAATCATTGCCCTGTAAGAGTGGGTGGAGCTTGAGTGAGATATCAATCGGTCTCCAAGCGTGATGTCACATTGTGAAAATATTGTGTTAAGAGGATAATTAATTATCCTCAACACAATATTAAGGAATGTAAATCAACGAATTTACATCCCACTTCAACCGTATGTAGAAGGGGGGCATAAGCATCTCCCACTATTTGCTGCTCGACCACATCGCTGTAACAATAAGAGTAGTTTTCGATTCCCACACTGCACTGAAGAGAATTTCTCCCCTTCCAATTTCAGTATCGGTCGGGAAACATCACTTTCACGTTCGAGGGTCAAGCTCATCTTCTCTTGTATTTTGCTTCAAGGCCGATTCAATGTTTTCATTGGCGAGAGGAATTGCGAGCCTTACCACTGCCCAGTCATTATAGGTGAGGCTGCATGTATTCGTTATTGGTGCAAGCTCCTCATCCTTGTCCAGCTGGTACAGGTAAAGTTCTCCGGACTCATAACGGAAAACATAACCCCATGAGCCCCAAAGGCCATGAGGTTTTAAACACCAGTCTTCCTTGAAGGATTGGAGCCCCGGCATCTGCACACGAGTCAGATAAAATGTCGATCTTTTGGGGGCACCCGCTCCGAGAGTTGAGTTGTCATAGATGGAAATTGGTGTCTCGCATAGAAGAGAAGTCCCGCTTGTCAATATTTCTCTTTTATCCACAGTTTCTGAGGTAGTTGGATCAGGCGACGAAGGTGAGTATGCCGGTGTGTCCATCACCGGACCCAAATCCGGTCTCACTGCTATCGGGATCTCATATACAGTTGTAGGTTCTTCTTCATCAAGCAGATGTTTATTTGTTAACGGGGTTGACGCCATCATCTTAGCAAACGTCCTCGGGCTAGGTAACTCCGAATCCGTATCAGATGTTGCAGAGGAGACAGGTTCTTTATTCTCAGCAGCAGGATGAACTCGTTTAGCCCCATACATTGCAAAGTTCTTGAATAACTCTTAGGAGTAGAGTGCTTGATTTTTTTGACTGTTTATAACAGAAACCCTAAAAAGGCCAAACCCTCTGTCTCCATTTCTATTGGCTAATTCAAAGAGTTCAGGAGGAGTTAATGGTGAGCAGATGGTCACAGAGGGAGGGCAGGAGGTCACAAGTTCCCAAGAGGGGGGGAACTTGTGACCATCCCACATATCATCTCCGATATCCACCGGACTCACAGTTGCGCAATATGTCAGCTGCGGACTCACAGTTGTGCAATATGTCAGCTGTTTGGGATTCCCCTCTGCTCTTACGTCACCGCGCTTTCTGATTGGCTACCTGTCACATTCAGTAGGTTGTATTCTCGTTCCCAGTCAGGGAAAACCCCACAGGCTGCGATAAAAGGGCCAAGACAACCCAAATTGGGCATATTCAGGCCTAAGCGGGAACACCAACATGCAGAAGCCTTATCTGACGGCTCACGACCCCCTTCCCCCACCACTCCAGGCCACACCAAAATTTTCGAAGTCTTGACCGGTCCGCGGTAATAATAAGGTTGGGGACCACTGCTTTAGCTGATCGGGCCTAAAAAGAAGACTGTCTAGGTGAAACCAAATTTATTCCAGAAAACATCCCATTAATCCCCTCTTGAGGTTTTTACAGTACTGCCTCAAAGGCAGATAACAGCAGAGCAAACCAAGTTGCCACAAGTTTTATCTGCCAGTGCAGGGTGGAGAAAAACATCTTTGCAGATTCAGGAAGAACAGACAAACCTTCAGAGAGACTAGGAGAGATGTCAATGCTAATTACGAGTCTGGCAATGCAAACGGTATTTGAAGTACATGAGGCCGTATTTTATATTTTGGGAGTCAGAGAAGGTCGAAGGGTGGCGAAACTTGTTGTACATATTCTCGTTGTAGGTCTGCTTGGCCGGTGGTTGATGGACTTTGGGTTGGTGATTGATGGTAACGTCATCGCAGGAGCCAACATAGAGCGATCCAAGGCCGTCGATGAAAAACTCTAAAAAATATATATACACAAGAGAACTCAGAATATCAAAAGATTCATCACTTTGACTTGTCTTTTCAAGCCAAAATGATGTTATATCAAGTGAAATATATGTGATATTATTGAAAAGATAAAGTAGGTCACTTTAATCTCTACAAAATTACAGTGAACTCTACTTTTAGTCAGCATCGTGTCTTGGGATGTCATTTAAATGATTCAGAAATGCATAAAAGTCACATGCTTTGCTGATTCAATAAGAAATCTGTTCTCAGTGCTTTTACTGTACTCACCAATGTGAGCTAACCTACTGAGGAGGGGGTCAAAGCCGACCTGCCGGAGTTTATCCGTGTGAGCCATGAAGAAGTTAGTGACCCCATCTGTCACAACACAGTGAGGAAATTCCTCAATTACATGATGAAATCCTCTTCTGATGTGCAAGCAGTCTCCGTCTTCCTCTCCTGGCTCGATGGAGATGGTTTGTCTGAAGGTACCACCACCTACTACTCCCCCAACCTACAAAGACACAAACATGGAAAACATGGAGTCAAATCTCTGAGATAAAACTTTATAGACTCATTTTGAGCTACGATTTATCTTCCAGGGCACCAACCAGATCCAGAGTGGTCCTCTCTAAAACGTCTACAAGCTTCTCCAGCTTGGTATTTGCAGTGAAGAGGAAGTCATCGTCCACCCAAAGCACATATTTGGTCGTGGCCTGGGAAATGGCCAGGTTTCGTCCAGCAAACCAACCCTACAACACAAGAGGTTTGAGCTTTAAAGACTCAGAGAGAATTAGCTGCAACAGCAGAGAAAGACCAGCCTGCTTACCTTCCCAAAAGGCATGATGTACTGCTCGATGTAAGGCCCAGAAATGGTTTTTGGGTTATCGCTATCATCAGCAATTACTATCATGACTGTGGGATAGTATTTTCTGATGCTGTCAATAAGGTTTTGAAGCTTTTCATAACGCAGGAAAGTCTTTGTCACTATGGTAACAATCTTGCTGACGTTGTACTCTGCAGAGGACAGACAGATTTTATGTTAAACACTCTTCCTGCAGAAACCACTGGTTTGGTTGTGACCAGTGATGACAGTAACGCGTTACAAAGTAACGACGTCGGACCATTTTTTCAGGAACGAGTAATCTAACGCATTGCTATTTCAAATCCAGTAGTCAGACTACAGTTACTTAATGAAATGACTTTGCGTTACTGTGCATTACAATTTTCTTTTGTAATTAAATGTTATTTACTCGAAGCATCTCGTGGAGTGACTGACGTTTCCATGCGACAGTGTAAGCAGCGACAGAAATGTAAACAATGGAGAGAGGAGAGAGATGTGAATTTCTTTGCTGGAAAAACGAACAATTTTGAGTTTTTGTCGCCAGGTCCAATTATTACAAGCGACTTGTGCTTGTTTTGTTTCTAAAGTTGCTTGCAAATTTAATGAGTCGCGGGTTGCGCTTTTTGGGGCTCGTTTTTGAACGTGAAGTTACTCATTTGGGCTTGGAAATAAGCAAAGGCACATAATAAATCCCAGAATTTGTCTATTATCCAGGACGTTTACGTCAGACTCTCCATGTCCATCATTTCCCTGATGTTCCGCACCGCTGAGTCTTTGTTAATATCCATTATTTATCCATCATATATTTGCCTTGAATGACGTCGAGTTTCGCGTTGCGCTCCAGAAACCTGCAAACATTGAGACTAATATGAACAGCGCAATAAACATGAAAACAGCCACGAATGAACGTGTCTGTAAAGTTGTGCAAGTAAACGCTACTCTAATTATTAATATTAAGATAAGTCACAACCAGAAACCACTGGTTTAGTTGTGACCAGTGATGACAGTAACGCGCTACAAAGTAACGACGTCGGACCATTTTTTCAGGAACGAGTAATTAACGCGTTGCTATTTCAAATCCAGTAGTCAGACTACAGTTACTTAATGAAATCACTTAGCGTTACTGTGCGTTACTATTTTCTTTTGTAATTAAATGTTATTTACTCTAAGCGTCTTGGGGAGTGACTGACGTTTCCATGCGACAGTGTCAGCTGTGGTGTGTTATGGTCCTCTGGGCGTTCCGTACCAGAGGCGGGTTACGTCACTTCAGTAAAGGTTCCTGCCGGCTAAAGATAAGCTGTTGTCAGAGTCCTTAATTAATGGCCTACAAATTACTACATCAGCAGCGACAGAAATGTAAACAATGGAGGGAGGAGAGAGAGGCTGGGGCAAGGGGGTGGGGCCTTTAAAATCCTTCTTAGAGTTTTCCAGACAGTAGTGGAAAACACGAATTACAAACTTTTTTGTACTGTTGTGACCATTAAACAATCTCCCCTTCAGTTCAACCATATAAGTGGAAATACACTGTTGATGCTACTATTATAAAATAACTATTGTATTAGTATAAGTATTGGCAAAGCTCAATGTAATTTTCACAGGTGGTGGAGCGTTGTTGTTAGCAGCTGCTGAAAGTAACTAAAAAAGTTGCTTTTAATGTAACTTAGTTACTTTCCAAATCAGGTAGTCAGTAATTTAAGTTACGTTTTCAAGGAGTAGTCAGTAATCCGATTAAAGTTATTTTTTCAAAGTAACTATGTCATCACTGCTTGTGACAAATAAAAATGTGATGCTTCTGTACCTTCCTTAGGTCCAGTGTCATAAAGTTTTGGAGTTGCTCCATGACGGATCTTGATGGTGAAGGCAGCCTGATGACCTTCCGTCTTAAACTCCACTAGGGGACACAACAAAAATGTGACTCGTTTCTTCTCTACAGAAAGATCTATTTTGGAAAATAATTCTTCAGACAATCGTAGTTGACACGTATGTTGACATAAATCATAGTTTATTTCAACATACAGACTAACCAACTATCTTGTTGACACATCATTTCACTGTGCATAACTAGAGTTTGAATTGAGTCCTTCTCTCTAATTAATTGAGATCTTTACGAGGATTTTTGCCTATGTAGGAGAATCAGCTGACTCACATTTTTGTTACTTAAAAAACTGTTTAGAATAAATAATTCTGTGTTTTCCTTCCATTTCTTTTAGCTAGTTGCAACGCTAAAGCTAAAGGAAATGACATGTTAGGAAACGCCCTCAAAGCTAGGGTTAAAGGGTATGACAAACTAGGGAACTCCCTCTTTAGGGTGTAGTTTCAAGAGAGACGCTAACAAAAAGAATGGACAACTTTTGTTTGATGTCATCTTGTCTGTTAGCTCCTAAAGATAGCATGTCAGAATAGACTCGTTGTATTTTGGTATTAATACATGGAATTCATGAATTCAACTCACTGACTCTTTGTCAACCTCATACAAGGCGAACTTATGCATGGAGAAGGATAACTTCTCCACAAAACACAAAGTTTTTATAACAGTTAAAATATGCCAAACATGTTTAGCAATACTTGGTTAAATGTTCCTTTGCAAGTTGCAAAGACACAAGGTAAGGTAGGTAAGGTCATTTTATTTATATAGCACATTTTCAGCAACAAGGCTGTTCAAAGTGCTTTACATGAGTTAGAAGGAAATACAAACAAAACATTGGTAAGATAAAACTAAATGTTGGTTCTCCGTGTTTGATTATTGTTCTGGGTTGCTAATAGAGTGGGTAGAGTGCCTTCTCCAGGTCAGGGGGGTCAGGGGGGTCCTGCCTGAAGTGGAGGAGTTTAAGTATCTGGGGATCTTGTTCACGATTGAGGAAAGAAGGGAGCGGGAGATCGACAGGCGGATTGGGGCAGCGTCTGCTGTGAAGCGGGCGCTGTACCGGTCCGTCGTGGTGAAGAGAGAGCTGAGTCAAAAAGAGAAGCTCTCGATTTACCGGTCGATCTACGTTCCTACCTTGATCTATGGTCATGAGCTCTGGATCATGACCGAAAGAACGAGATCACGGATACAAGCGGCCGAAATGGGTTTCCTCCGCAGGGTGGCTGGGCTCTCCCTTAGAGATAGGGTGAGAAGCTCGGTCATCTGGGAGGGACTCGGAGTAGAGCCGCTGCTCCTTCACATCGAGAGGAGCCAGTTGAGGTGGCTCCGCCATCTGGTAAGGATGCCTCCTGGACGCCTCCCTGGTGAGGTGTTCTGGGCACGTCCAACTGAGGAGGCCCTGGGGAAGACCTAGGACACGCTGGAGGGACTATGTCTCTCGGCTGGCCTGGGAACGCCTTGGGGTTCCTGGAGGAGCTGGAAGAAGTGGCTGGGGAGAGGGAAGTCTGAGCCTCCCTTCTGAAGCTGCTACCCCCGCGACCCGACCCAGGATGAAGCGGAAGAAAATGGATGGATGGTTGCTAATATATGGTACTTTCTACGTTTGTTCTAGATTTACCCTTCAACCTTCTCTGACTCCCAAAATACAAAACTAACAGGGGTTTCGCTAAGTCTTGCTACAATATTAAAAGTATAAAGCTAAATGTTGATGTCAAGTAATGAGTACTCCACACTTTCTAAAAGTAATAAACTAAACGGACAGACAGGGCAAAGAAATAACACATCAGGAAAAATAGGCACATGTAGCAACATTTACTTAGCAGAGCCAATGAAGGCAGTGACGTTAGGGAGTGTGTATCTGTGGCCATGAAATGTATGTGGTAGGTCTGTGAGCAGTTCTTTGATAAGGTGGTATTATCTAAGAGCAAGTTCTTGGAGTGATTGCACAGATATCTTTAGAAAAGGAGAGGAAATGGGAAGGAGTGTCGATGTTTGCATAACTTGAGGTTTGAGATAGCCAGCCAGGCAAGATTGACACAGGGGAACCAGTTCAAATACAGACACTATGCTTTAGATGGGGTAGATTTTACTTCTCTGTTGATTCCAATTATCCAAATTAGTGTGGCCGTTCTGCCGGACTGAGATTAGCAACTTCTCCAAGATTGATTCCATCCTGCTACTGAGTTCTGGGGTCCACAGCTGGCCTACGAGCTGGCCTAATTTCAGTAAGAATCGCGTCCAACTTGTGCCTCTGTCCCACAGCAAGCCAGTCTGAGTGTTCACTAGTCGGCCCAACCCATCACAAATTTGTCAATAAGCCAGGTATCCGCCAACTCCAAAAAGAAGAAATCTTATCATGAATCCAAATAAATCAAGGAAGTATGTGCCTGCAGGACATGTTGGCTCTCCTGTGCCCAGTTTTCTCCTTGAGAAAATTTGATCACCTGCACTGAGAGACCAGTTGACCAGATCCACAAATTGCAGATTCAGAGGATGTGCAAAGAGAGGCTCCAAAAAGGCAGCGCAGAAACAGAGCAAGCAGAGCAACATCATTTTTGTAGCCATAAAATTGCGTCTGGAATATTTCAGTCTGAATATTCAACCACCTTTGATGTCAGAAAGAGTACAGCAGTTGTTGTCTGGTAAACATAGTTCATAATTTTAATTTGATTTGAAACTATTATAGAAGCCTAATATTAGTCTGATTTTCATTTTAAAACTAGTTCAGATCTGTTCTGACTAAAACATAAGAATCAGGAAAAAAGAAAACATGGTGATGGTTATTTATACACCAGCGAATATCAAGGATCAAACCATCTTAGGATAGCTACATTGTCTGCAAACTGAAAGGGGATTTTAAATAAATATAAAAATGGAGAATCCCCCCTTCTAAATGTGAAGAGGTCTTACCTGTGTCTGCAGTGTTGGGATGATATTTTGTGTTTGTGTAGGTGACAAACTGCAGCTGTCGGTTCAAGTTCAGCAGCAAACTGCTAGACAGACTCATATGCATCCCTCCATCACCTTTTATTTCCACTTCCTCCACTTCTGCTTCTACGTTTAGTGTTCCTAGTGTGGCAGTGATGTTTATCTGCAGCAGGATGGAAAACAAAATGGAAAAAGTGACAGAAATCCACAAATCTGGACGGCAGAAAATAAAACAGGATACTCACTGTGTAATGGTCTCTGGAAAGGTCGTGTAAGGCCAAGCCTGAAACAATAAGGACCGTCAGTTATTTTAAGCTGACTTGCAGGAGTTTGCAGTTTTTATAAAGAGCGACACATGCTGCTTTGGGAAATTTCTCAGTCAGTAGTAAAGATTATTTCACTCACAAACTATGCAAAAATTAATAATGCAAAAATGCTCATTTTGTGGCTGAACAAATGAGTCAGAAAAACTCAGTTTTGCTGATTTTTACTATTTGAGAAAAAATAAGTGTCATGATCCATTCAGGTCTTTCCTGTAATTGTTTTGGATATTCTTTAATGAACAAACATACTGACCATACCCAGTTCTTGTCTGTGATTTGGTTTTAAACTCTACCTCACCAAATGTGACAAAGGGGAGACAGGATGGAGACCTGACCTTAGCTAACACAGATAAGTTACTCAGTCCTGATCTAAGCCTCGTGCAGCACCGTTGTTATCAACTGAGACAGTACAGACATGATGGCATCTGGTTTTACACTTTCCTGTCAACTTAGTTTTCTTCCAAAAACCTACCAGGAAATGCAACATAATAGCACGTGACAATATTTTAAAGGGCACATGAAATTTATGCTTTTTTTAATGTGACACCAATAATAATATTGTAGCAAATGAGTGAAAAACAGTGATGGGCCAGACAACACAGAAACCTCAGCACATGCGTCGAGCAAACAAGACGAAACCCTGCGTCGGTGCGCGTATCACTTTTAGGAAAACCACGCGACCGATACAGTTCCTGTGTTTTGGATGCGAACGCGCCAAATTGTATTCATGAGGGAGAAACTGTGTCAACATAATTGTGGGTTTTGTTGTGTGGAGATGCTTTGTGTTATTTGCTCTGTGTTTGTTTCTGGATCATATTTGAAGTCCAACATGGATCAAATAAGAACGAGGAAGTTTTCTCCCACATAGGATCATTTTGATCTTATCATGGGGAATAATGTACGAATTGGTTAACACTCCCGTGATAAACCCTTGTGTTTCCGGAAAGCAGGCAATTGAACTGGACGTTCAGCTCAACCACCTGGTTCAGGTTTGTCATGATTGTTAATTGTTTTTATTTGTATTCTCATGTTCTTGCAAATCACCCTAATTACAATGAAATAGTTTGACCCAAAACTGTTACAGCAGCTTATTCTAAATAAAAACATGTGATTGAACATTGTTCTGTTTCCAGACTTTATTGAATTTGCCTGCAGTGACTGCTTAAATCCAGCAGATGTCACTGCAAGTGACATGGCAACACAGTTTCAACACACAGTCGAAAACAGTTTGGGAAATGTGCCAGACACCCAGAGGATTCATCTGCCCATCACTAGTGAAAAGTTACAATAATCTTTTAGACTGAGTTTTTTGGGAAAAAACAACAATTATTTCTTCATACCTTTGTACTATTGATTCAGACTTTTTTTTTCAATAATTAACCAGGATTTATTGAGGTCACACACACTTTAGTGTTACTACTTTGTTTTCTTTGGTTGTAAATGTTGATAGCTAGTAAATGATTGTAGGTTCCTCAATCATGAAGCCATAAGCTTGACGCTCTCCAGACACCCAGAGGATTCATTCTTCGGACTTGATGACGAAAACGACAAAAAACCAGTCTGAGTGCTCTTGATAAAGGTTAACATCAATGTGTCATCATCGTAATATTTCTTGAAATATGAACGATAAGATTTAAAGATGCACCATCCCGTTGTCCTGTCTCATCATTACTTACCTGTATTTCAGGAAACTTATCTGCTGACATTACACACACACAGACTGGTGGTAAAATGGATGGACTAGCAAAGGACGAAAGAATAGACAGAACAATGCATGAACACCCAGATGGATGGATAGACAGGTTCTGCTTTTAGTGACCGTCTCTATACACTAAGACCACAGAGATCATTCGCCTCTCTCTGCATAATGCATGACGTGTGATATTGGCTCTTATGTGTCGAGAGGCTTCTCTTAGGGTTGAAACGATTCCTCGAATGATTCGAGAACCTTGATGATTAAAATTCTTTGAGGAAAATATATCTGCCTTGAAGCTTCGTTAATTTACGTTTTATTATTTAGCGCACCGTGTTCCGGCCGGGACATTACTTGATGCGCAGCGCTCTCACTTCCACCTCTAAGTTGTTGACGAAAGCTAACTGTTAGCGGCACAACGTCCAATCTTTAAGTTCGGCCAGTGGGCATTTTATTGATTGATGATAATGACCGGGTTTTCATCGTTTTTGAGGGACCAATAAGCATTCTTAAAATGACTGGTGCGATGCCTGGAGTACGGCAGCCGTCCTCCTCCGGGAGCTGCTGGTTCAGAGCGAACAGCGGGAAGTGCGATGCAGGAGTATTTATACAGGTGAGCGGATCGACTGAACACAGTGGGCAGCTCAGTAGCTGATGGCTACAGTATAAGTGTAGCTTTACGACAATGCATTTCATATCTTCCCGGTCTCAACAAACGAGTGACAGAAATCATCGTGGCGGTACATGGCTAGTAGATGAGTTTCTGAGTGTGAATGAAGGTGTGAAATCCTGTTAACAAGGACACAAAAGCTATTAATGGCTGGGCAAGGTATACCTGTCAAGACTCCCAGTTTGGCAAGGAAACTACCGTTTTTTTACCCCCCCTTTCCTGCTGTGCTCCCGTATTAGCATCTTCCTGCAAATATGCAATATTACTCCCCTCCCAAACCCCCACACACCCTTCCCGGGTCTTTCATTCGTGCAGTTTTTTATTGCCCCAGACTTAGGTTCGTCTGTCCTCCACCTCAAGCCCTCCCAACTCCAGGCGACATTTCCCATATTCTCAAACCCAAAGCTTGACAGGTATGGGGCAAGGTGAGAGTTCATCTATTAAACTGATTGGAGATGAACACGTAAACTAAAAGCTGGAGTATAGACATTTTTTATGAGCGTATTTGTGAGCCTGCCTCTTTATTACTAAATTGAAGATCATTTCAGATTTTTGTATAACTTTTTTTCAGGTTAACTTAGAAAGTGAGCTATTATTGTTACAGGTTAGTTTTCTAAGCTACAAAAAAGTAACTGTTAGGGATGCTTAAATATGAAAAATTGGACTGATGTTGATATCTAATAGTAACACTGGTGTCATGCTAGATTTACCAATATTTTATCAATTTATCTATCCGATTACTTGATTAATTTTAGGAATAATCGATAGACTACTCAATTACTAAAATATTAATTGACAACAGTCCTAGCTTCTCTTGTTGCAGATTACCAGTTGCACTGGTTCAGAGTTTTGGAGCTCCCTTTGGAAATCTGGAAACTGGACTGATAACACTAAATGACTAAATGACTAAATGAAAATTAAAGTACTAAATGAAAGTCAGACTTCTTGAATCCAAATATTTAAAAAATGAGAAGTGACTCAAGACTTATATACATGAGTCAGGTAATTCAAAGTAATACCTGGGATGATGATTGTTTTCCGGGGCCGTACTTCCACCCCCTGTGTTGGATACTGCAGGGGACTGTTGGCCTTGGCGATCATGAGCGTGTCTGCAGCAGTCCTGGATCTGATGAGAAAGGTTTTTTTTACCAGAACAATGTAAAAACCAATCAGATAATTGTGAAAATGTATTTCAAGCAGATTATACTTGAAATCCATTTTTTTAAAACACATTTTTGCTCTTCAAAAATGGCTGCCAGCCAAAACTGGCTGGACAGCGCATGGTATTGAGGTAGAGCGGCCGTCTATTAGTCCTTGACGTAGGTGTCTGGGGCTTGATTCCTGATTCTGGGACCGTTGCTGCTTGTTTTCCCTGCTCTCCTCTTTCTGTTTTCTATCTGATCTGCTGCAAAGAAACCCCACTGAAAACCCCATCTGACACAACAAAATATACAGTAGGACCTGTGGTGAGATTACCTGTTGCTCACCTGGTGACTTTAGTGAATGGGTGATGAGGGAAGTCTACTTTTAGTTGACTGCTTTAAGAGTTAATGTTTTTTTTTAATTTTTGGTAGAGTCTTATTTTGATTCTAATATATCGGAAAAGATAAAACTATTTTGTCCATCTCAGTGGAAATTTTCCTTCGACTCTAAAGCTATAAAATGACACATTCATAGAATCAGAATATTTGTTGCTAAGAATAAAACACTTCATGCGGTAGGTAAATGTCATTTAGTTTGGCTAAGAATGCTTATTGCACTAGGAATAAATTACTTCTTATAGATGTTCTTAGCTTCCAGAGGGACGCTACAACGCCTTCCTGAGCTCAGAAGTTCAAACTGATGAAAAAGATGATGGATGCTATCTGCTAAAATATTTCTTGCCGTCTTCCATGTTCTTTCAGCAAGCAGTTGAAACAGACCTTTTGTAGTTTCACTACTATTTACCTGCTGTTTTACCTGTCATTCAAACGTTTCTTAAAATCTTTCAGTCTGCAGCCCATGTGACCAAACCAACCAGGGAGATGAAAAGTTACAACGCTCTCAACATAACCTCTAGTTGGGTGACCCTAACATCATTAAGTTTTCTTAGAACATAGAGTCTCTGAGAACATTTCATGATTGTATCATGAGAGGCATTTTATCATGCATTGCATCATGCGACGCATGATAAGAGTAGAAAGTTCATAACCTGTGATTACCTCCTGTGAAGACAGACATGCCTGACCTCTTCACTCAGCACAGAATGCCTGTAGACCTGAGTAACATCCCAAAGCAACAAGACCTGACTATCTGGCCACACTTGAAGCACATTCGTTTGCCAGAGATCAAAGTGCAGGTGGATCTTTTGATCTTATTTCAGCTGAACATCTCAAGTTTGCAAGTTCAAGGGTAGCCCTTCTTCTTGCCTTGTGTTTCACTGGTTTTATTATGCATGGTTTTATTCCTGATACCTTGATGAATGTTATTCTATTTCCTGTGATTAAAAACAAAGCTGGAAAAATTAGCAGCTCTGATAACTATAGACCTATTGCTCTAGCAAGTACACTGTCTAAAGTCTTTGAACTAATTCTTTTGCCAAAATTTGTTAAGACAGTAATGTCTACAGACAATCAATTTGGGTTCAAGTCCAAGCATGGTACTGATTTGTGTATATATGGCCTAAAATAATTACTGAATAATTATAATAGCAAAAATTCTATGGCATTTCTGTGTTTTTTAGACGCCACTAAGGCTTTTGATCGTGTAAATCATAGAAAACAATTTTTAAAATTGTGCCTAGCTGGTGTGCCCAAATATATAGCAAGATTATCTGTCCTATTGGTATGCTAACCAAACTATGCAGGTCAAATGGGACAACTGTGTGTCTGCAGCCTGTCGTGTCAGCAATGGAGTCAGACAAGGAAGCATTCTATCCCCTATATTGTTAAGTTTTTATATGAATGAGCTCTCTAAGCAGCTAAACATGTGTTGAACTGGCTGCATGGTTGGAGATGCAATTATAAATCATCTTATGTATGCTGATGACTTAGTGGTTTTTAGTCCAAGTTCAGCTGGTCATCAGAAGCAGCTTAATGTCTGTTCAGCATATGGTGAGCGACACGACGTCAAATTCAATCCATCAAATTTTGATCTGTCGCACTAAAGAGGACAAAAACAGGATATTTTCACATTTTAAGCTATCTGGAACTTTATTGAATATCTCAAATGAAGTAAAATATCTTGGTCATGTGTTGACAGGCCATCTGTCTGATGATGAGGATATTTACCGCCAGGTTCGAATGATGTATGCTCAGGCAAATATCCTTGTTCTGAAGTTTGGATTCTGTTCTGATGAAGTGAAACTGAACTTGTTCAGATCATACTGCACATCACTGTATACGGCACATTTGTGGTGCAATTTTAAAAAAGTCAGTCTTCATAGATTGAAGGTGGTTTATAATGATTGTTGAGGAAAATGGAATATTCTTAGTGTTTAATACAGTTAATCATACGACATGTTTTTACATGTCGTATGATATAGAGCATGGTTATTGAGCATGGTTATTTTGAACAAAATTCTTAATTTAGAATAGGTTTGTGTTAATGATTTAATCTAAAACTATCGATGGGTATGTTCTCAACTTACTGGAAGAAATGATAGAGATCTGAAGGTAGCTTTTAGTAGGGTCTGTTTGGTTATCAGAGGTCAGGAGGCCATAAAATTAGCATTTGCAGGAAGGCAGCATCACTTGGAACGTGAGAGAGAGAAGATTGCTCCATTTACAGAAAGTCATAAAAGTCTTCCAAACTAGCATCTGGAATGGTGTGAAAACTGGTGAAAAAAACTGAATACGACATAGAATATCTAAAACCACCATCATCTAATTTGGGAGACATTTTTCTTAGTTATTAACAGCATGCTTGATTGAAAATAGTCTAATCATAGTTTTAGGATGTATCTGCTCTCGTCGGTACTTTGATGGCTGTTTTAAGAAAGCTTATGTATAAATTCATTTGTCGTTTGAATCAGTCTAATAATAGAATTATTCTACTGTTGACTAACTTTAATTTTAGTGCAGTGAAATACTCATCTGTACTTTGGAGACATTTGCATGATTGTCTCTTTTCATTGTAGTTTTTATTCTTTTATTGTGTTTATCTTTTTTATGTAAATTGGACTTTGAGTCTGTAATAAAATCTATCTATTAGTATGAATATGCCCAGAGCTCTAGAACCGTTGGAGGTCATCAGGAGTGAAGGCAATGGATCTTTCACCATTAAACGGTGCTCGGCTGGACAGTGGATGGGCCACTTGATCAAGAATGCTGTGAAAGACCAAGTTGTCTGTCAACAGTCACCATGAACAGAATTTCTGCTGTTACATTGGATAACCTATGGAAGCAACAATTCATTTTTCTGAGAGCAGCCATGATGAGCAGATGGAGCTGTCAAAGAAAGAACCCAAGTTTCTGGAGCTGGCCCGACAGTAACCTTGAGTGACGGATACTACAGCATTGCCCTGCCTTTGAGAGACCGAGACATAAGAATGCCTGATAACAGCACAATTGCTGAACGTGCTTTAAGCTTAAAGAAAAGGTTAATCAAAGATAAAGATCCTCCATTCCTTACACAACAAGAGATTTTACAGGAATTTTCACCTGAAGACACTGAAGTCAAAGTGTCTGCTTCTGTTGGTGTTTCCCCTGAACAAGAAGACTGTCATCCTTTGGCTCTTTTGATTCATTGTGCTTCATCCTGGACTTGTCTTGTCAGAATGATGGGTTGGATTTTGAGATTCAAAACATTGCTCTTGCATCACAAAAGAAACAAGACAACTCCATCCTGCATCTAAAACAACCCAGTCTGAAGGTGCTCATCATAGGGTTGAGCTCCCAACTGGCTTTCTCTCATTGAGAGAGACTGGGGATGCTGAGATGCAGATAATCAAGTTCTGTCAGAAGAAAAGATATTCTGAAGAAATTTCCTGTCTCCAAAAAGGAGAGAACGTCAAACGAAGCAGTCACATATACAAGTTAAATCCTTTTCTGATGGATGATGTGCTGCGTGTTGGAGGGCGTCTCAGCAGGGCCGTCATGTCTGACGACTCTAAGCATCCAATCATTGTTGCTAAAGATCTTCATATTGCTGATCTCATTCTCCAATACATCCATAAAGGGGTGGGTCATGGTGGTAGGAACCACATACTCTCAAAGCTCCATCAGAAATATTGGATTCCTGTTACTGGTGCATTGATTAGAAAGGTCATGTCGAGGTGTGTGATCTGCAGACGGCTTCATGGAGCTGCAGGCCAGAAACAAATGGCTTACCTGCCTGAAAGCAGAGTAACCCCTGCTTTAGGTTTGTTGGAGTGGACTATTTTGGTCCATTTGAATGAAGTGTGGGAGAAGTCTTGTGAAGAAATGTGGAGTTATCTTCACATGTTTGGCTATCAGAGCAGTACATATTGAGGTCGCCTCCTGTCTTGACACAGACTTTTTCATTAACGCCTTACGATGTTTCATTGCAAGGAAAGGCCAAGTACAAGAGCTGTGGTCCAAAAATGGTACCAACTTTGTGGGCGCAGAGCGTGAACTGAGACGAGCTATCGAAGATCGGAATTAGGAAAAGATCTCTAATGCGCTGTCACTGAAGGGAGTGAAATGGATCTTCAATCCTTCAGCTGGGTTGCACCATGGTGGAGCATGGGGGAGATTGATTCGTTCCATCAGAAAGGTCCTTAATTCCACCCTGCAGGCACAACATTTGGACGAGGAAGGACTTCAAACTGCTCTTTATGAAGTGGAGTCAATCCTCAACAGTAGACCAATCACACTGGAATCTGCCGATCCAAATGATTTGGAAGCTCTAACACCAAAGCCTCTTCTCCTACTGAAGTCTAACCCAAGTTTACCACCAGGATTATTCCAGAAAGGTGATGTTTATGCACAGAAACAATGGAGACAGGTCCAATACATATCTGATCTGTTCTGGAAGAGAAATGCCTCAACTTCAACAGCGCCAAAAGTGGATGAAGATTAGACGCAACTTTGTTCCTGGAGATGTGGTTCTTTATGATGGATGACTCTGCACCTCGTGGCTCCTGTATTATTGGCAGAGTCATAGAAACTGTGCCAGACAAAAATGAACTTGTACGACAGGTCTGTATTAAAACCCCAAACAGCCACTTATGCAAACCCATCACAAAGATATGCCTTCTTCAGGAGACTTCCGACCAA